GATAAAAATATAAAGAATGAAATAATACGATGAGACAATTTTTAAACACGCACAAAGGAAATTATAAGAAAAGGATGAGAAAGCAGAGAAATTAGCAGACTTAGTAGAGTTTGGGGGTTAAAAAAGAAATGAGGGAACAAAGATTAAAAAAATTAAAGAAAATGTTCTATCCATATAATAGGACTGCAAAGAGGCCTTGCAGGATTTTGAAAACATTAGCAAATGTTCAGCAAACATGAACAGATTCGACCAGCTATTGCTAGTGAAGCGATGAGGATTTTAAGATGGAGGTCAGCTCTCCGAGTCTCTGCATGTCTGGAATTAGCTGGTTGTGTCCTAACCCTTAGTCAGTAGTTTAATGTTTAAAGACATCCCTTTACTTTTTCCAACATTCGATGAGGGTGAGGCTGTTCCCTTATAGATGAAAGCTTTTTGCTTGTTTTAGATGCTTTCCGGGCCTTTTATCCCTGGTGTTCTACCATTTCAATGGTCTGCACTTACTCATCCATATCTGTTTCATTTTTTTTTTGTACCTGAATTATAGTGGTTTTTATTATTTTTATTTTTTATTTATTAAGTTATTACATATGTGTCCTTATCCCCACATTCCCCCCTATCCCCCCCACTCATGCCCTCACCCCCCTGTTGTCTGTGTCCATTGGTTAGGCCAGCCGTGGGCAAACTACGGCCCGCGGGCCGGATCCGGCCAGTTTGAAATGAATAAAACTAAAAAAAAAAAAAGACCGTACCCTTTTATGTAATGATGTTTACTTTGAATTTATATTAGTTCACACAAACACTCCATCCATGCTTTTGTTCCGGCCCTCCGGTCCAGTTTAAGAACCCATTGTGGCCCTCGAGTCAAAAAGTTTGCCCACCCCTGGGTTAGGCCTATATGTTTGCATATAAGTCCTTTGGTTGATCTCTCCCCTTACCCCCACACTCCCCTACCTTCCCTCTGAGGTTTGACGGTCTGATCGATGCTTCTCTGTCTCTGGATCTGTTTTTGTTCATCAGTTTATGTTGTTCATTATATTCCATAAATGAGTGAGATCATGTGATATTTATCTTTCTCTGATTGGCTTATTTCACTTAGCATAATGCTTTCCAGTTCCATCTACATGCCTTCTGCTCAGCACTTGGGATACCTGTTTTGAACAGTATTATCTTTAGCTCTTAGACATTTCCATTGTTTTTTGATAATTTCTTCCATTCCTCCTCTCTTCTTCTGGAATTCCTGTTAGCAAAACGTAGGACCGAGACATCTATATCTTTTATTCTAATATTTCTCTTTTTTGGTGTTTTTACTTTCTAAATTCTTGGAGTTTTCCTGTATATGTATGTGTGTGTGTATATATATATATATAAAGTCACCCAAGGATGTTTTGATTGATTTTTGAGAGAGGAAGGGGGGAGGGGTAGAGAGAGAGAGAGAGAGAGAGAGAGAGAGAGAGAACACATCAGTTTGTTGCCTTCTGTACATGCCCCCCAAAAGGATCAAACCCTTGACCTTTTGGTGTACAGGACGATGCTCCAACCCACTGAGGCACCCCGCCAGGGCAGAGTTTTCCTCTATTTTATCTTTCGAACCTTCTAGAGAATTTTTTATTTTGGCAGTAATATTTTTAATTTCTAAAAGTTCCTTCTTCTTCCCTGTTCCTTTTTCATATTATTGATTTTACTCATATTGGCAATATTATTTCAAATCTGAGGCTACTAAGTGGAGTTTCTAAAAAGTTATCCTTAGGATGAATTTTTGTATTATTTTGTTCACTTTTTTAGCTACAGATTTTCTCCTCAAATGTCCAATGACCTTTGCTGTCCCTCCCTACATAAGAATGAAGGAACAGAAGGGTTGCCTGGGAACTCAGGACATGGGCTTATCACCAGAAGGTCTGATAGGACACAGTGATTGAATGGGAGGGATGAGGTAGATGGAAGGGCCCAGAGTGACCCCAGCCTCCTCGTTTATGATGTGTAACACTGTAGTGATGACATTCTCAGTTACTGTAATAGGGAACACAGAAAGGAACGGGGCTCATTAGAAGGCACAAAGAGAAAAGGAAATAAGCCCACTTTTTGACATGTGTGGGGACTGGGGGGACTGGGGTATGGAGTGTGGGGAGGGGGAAGTCTCAGGAAACAGGCCTGGAAGAGCCAGCTGGGTTTACCCATCCGGGAACACTGGCATAGAGAGGTCGCTAACGTCACAGGACTGGATGTCACCACACGTGGAGGGGGCAGGAAGTGAGGAAAGGGGAAAGGGGAGAGCCACAGAGAGAAAGCAGAGGAGCAGCATAAAGGCTGGAATGAGGAAGAGATACCGAGAAGAAAACAGAAAGGGAACAGTAAAAAAGGTAGGAAATCAGGAGAGTAGTGGCTTCAGTGTATGTGTGCTCTGGTTTTCCATTCATTCTACTAGGTGCTCAGTGGGTGCTTTCAATCAGAAAACCTCATGTCCTTCAGCTCTGGGAAATTTTCTTATAGTTTTTTTCTTCCTCTATGTCCTCTGTTTGTAATTTCTATTAAGCAACAAGCTTCTGAACCGATCATATGATTTTCTTCACCTTTTCTCACATTATACCATTTCTATTTGTTCTACTCTGTGTGATTTCCTCATTTTCCTTTCCATCCTTGCTGAATTAGTCCTTTCTAAGATACAGGTTCAATTTCTAAGCGCGTTTCCTTGTTCTCTGATTTTTCCCTCCTTGCTCTTGTTTCATGGGTACAAGATATTCTTTTTCTTCTCTGTGAATATCAATGGCAGTTGTGTTTTTTAAAGTTTCCTTCAGCTCATTGCATTGTCACTTTCTTTTCTACCCCTTTCTGGACTCACATGCTTGTTTTGGTTTCTGTTTCATCTGAGTGGCTTCCTTTCACACCCAGTAGCCCTGCTGTCCATTCATATTGAAAAATAAGACACTAAAATGCTACTGTTGGAAGTTCCATGTGGGAAACTTCAC